TTCAGACTAGAACTGGGCGAAAGCAGCTCACTCTCTATCGACCAACATCCCTATGTAAAGGGAATACTATCGCTTCGTGTTGATGCACGCTTTTCGGACTTTGCGTCGTTGAGAATGAAACTTGCATGGCTTACGCATACACGTCCAGACTGTTCCTATGAGGTGTCACAAATAGCACAAGTGACACCGGAGCGCTTTGACCTCCAGCCGTCAAAAGTTATCAAGAACTGCAATAGAATGGTGAAGCATGTCCGTATGCATCGACTTCAGATTCAAGTCCCCAAGCTTGATATTAGCTCTCTTCGTATTGTGGGTTTCTCTGATGCGTCATATTGTGCAGTGACCCTGCGCTCTTTATCCCTTGTCACCGCCGTCGCGGGGCCGCGTCCCGCGCCTTTGACACGTGTGTAACACGTGTGCTCATCGAAAGTGTACATGTACACTTTGGATGATACCACACTTGTATGATAAGCGCGCCACACGTGTACTGTGCGCGCACACTTGGGAAAGTAAACCACGTGTACCACACGTGGCCACACGTGTATGACAAATGTATGACACGTGTATGACACGTGTACGACACGTATACATACGTGGTGCCCACAAGTTTCTACGCTTATTATTGTCTAATGCCAAGTGGCAATTCTAATGACGATAATTAATTATTAATTATCCATTTAGTAACCGACGCCGACGACGGCGCTCGGCCTACATAGGTCGGGTGTCGGAAGGCGCTACAGTAAAGAGGCATCAGGTGATCGGACCCCATCTCTGGTAGGATCCTCTACGGTTCCTATCTAGTTGGCTAAGTCTGGTACCTGCACCCTTCGTCGTCATCCTTTTTGTTGTTTTTCCATTACTTTTTCCCCTATTTTCTACATTTCTACACTATCTTTCTTCTTCGTTCTTCTTTCTTCTTCTTGTTGTTTACTCCTTCTAACGCACTCCCGCTGGAGTGCACCCCTTCACGCACACCGCGATGTATCCGCGGTACCGCGTCGACTCCCCTGAGTTACCCGGACAGAGGAACTCGAACACCCTGGTGGTTACTGTACCTTGCCTCGCGCTTTCAACAGCGAGATTTAAGCCCTCGTTGGCGGTGTGGAGGTGCACTGCACTACACGTCATTTGCAGGCAACTCGGACCTCACGTCCCACCTTGGTTACGTCTGCTTTCTGTCTGATGCCACTGAGGCAGTTATTCCTATCGCCTTTAAGTCATACAAGGCACGTAGGGTGACGCGATCGGTAATGAAAGCGGAGGTAATAAGTTTTAGTGACATGTTTAACTGTTGTTTTACCTTGGCCGAGGATCTACGGAGTATCATGCAGGTCCAATTTATTCCAGTACAGTTATAAACAGATAGCAAGTCGCTGGTCGATGTGATATCCAAGGGTACGAGGATCGCGGAAAAGAGGCTCATGTTGGACATTGCGGTGGCAAAAGAAGGACTTCGGAAGAAGGAAATCAGTGACATTGGTTTCGTGCGGAGCAACGATAATGTTGCTGATGGATTGACTAAGAAGATGCATCAAAAGGCCCTCATGGATGTTTTGCGGACAGGAAAATTATCCATTCGAGCTGAACAATGGATAGTCAGAAACTGAACCGAAGCTCAGTTATCACGTTTACGTTTATTTGAAGTTTTTTTCTTATTTTTCAGTGTCACCTTAACAATCTCCCGTACCTCAGCTACTCTTAATTGAGTTGCATCATCACCGCCGACTCGTCGTAAGATATCCTCAGTGAGCGCGAACGGAAAACGTGACGAGCTATCATGTATAATGCCCTTCTTGCAGTCTACAGCTACGCAGTGGTCCACAATGCCATGTTGTGTAATTCTGCCAATCCATATACCTGTGCACCGATTGACCAACCATTTAAATGGATTCTTATTGAATTCACCTTTCTCCCTTTTCGGGATACGCGGAACATTTATCCCGACCGGAAGCTGATGGACAAAAAGAAAAGCTGCTTCAATGTTTTAAACCTCGTCGGGTCCGAGTCAAAATATTTTTTGACTTGCAAAGCGGTGTGTTCCTCGTACAAAGATTCGCATGCGTTGGATACAGCCGCTGACACAACGTGTCATTATTACTCCGAATGATATTTGGTCCGTAGTCGTGAACCTCGAACTTGCGCGACCCGGAGATATGTCCACGAGCTCCAATCCCTCTAACGACCATCGATGTTCCACGACACCTTTCCATCATTTTTAACAATTGGCGTAGCAACTCATGGCTTTTTGCTGCTTCGTCTTCCTGTACGCCCGTCCCTGTGTTGAGTTGTTTGATCATGGCCAAGAAGGAGTATGGGGTTAGTTTCAGCGAACTTGGCTCGATTGGTCAAAAGCTTTCCGGTCCTCTGGTCACTCCACCGCACGCGTACAGTGCACCATCACGCAGTGTCTTTCCGCATTTCCCAGTTGTGCCGTCTCCAACAACGATACGCTCGATTCCCCATGTCATCTGGGCTCACCGATACTAGATATTGGAACACCTCCCCGGAGATTTGTGTCCACTTTTATTCTCAGGTGGACCGTCTCGTGTGCAGGACAAGAAGCGACCGAACGCTTGCGAGTGCAGGCTATTATACGATACGAGTCGAAGCAGATGTCGGTGGCCAAGACACCACTCCAGTGCCACGTAAGCGGGACTTAGCAGTCATTTTTCCGTAATTTTAATTTCGTTTTATTTCGCAGGGACAGACAGGAATTGTCGTGAACGGATAGGGGAAATGTCAATCTTTTTGGCTTACAGCCAATAAGATTGTCTTTATTCGTTCACGGGAGATCGAGGGGTCGATGCTCTCGCAATACCCTGTGTGCGTTCCCCGCCAAAAAGGGGGGTATACTATTCTCGGCTCCCCACCCGGTGACTAGCACCTGGAGGAGGGTAGAGGAAAAAGCAGTAAACACATTTTTAGTGAAAGCTGCTTAACCATCGCGTTCGGCGTTTGGGCCTCGTCCTATCCTGCACTAATACTAATTTCCGTGTCTGTCTGTCTGTGTGTGTGTGCGTTCCCGCGCTGCCCTTGGCGCACGGGGGCGCTGCCGTGACAAGTGGCGGCCACGGGCGGGGCCTGGCCGCAGGCCAGGTCCGCCACGTGGACACGAGGTGGCTTTAGGCACGATCGTAGCACTACAGTACTGTACAAATTTAAATTTTGAATGCTACACTACAGTACAGAAAAAATAAAAAATACAACCCGACCCGCTTCGCGTTCTTTACCGATCCCAGCGCACACCGTCTACGTGAAGTGAGTAAGTTATTAACTGTCCTCAATGCTCCGGCCAGCTTGCTGCCAGCGGCATTTGAGCGCACACGAACGCTTACTGACTATAGACGGTGTGTATCTTTTCTGCGAAGTGTCTACTCAAGAAGAACGCCAAGAATTGCGAGCCGCGCGCCGCGCCGCTACCCCGATCCGCCTGAACTTTTCCGAGTCCCCCACAGCGTCGACACGTGTCAACGTAACTCATCCAGCCCCGCCCTGTGCGCCCGCCCCACGTGTCCACGTCCCCTCGATTGCCCCCGCGCCCGCCCCACGTGTACCGCGCGCCCCTCTGCCACGTGTACCACGTCTTCCCCCGGCCCCTGAGCCAGCACCCGCACCACGTGTCTGGCGCGCAACGGTCCCACGTTTTACACGTTTACCTCCGCCTGTCATTCCTACGTTTCGTGGGCTACGTGTGCCACGTGCGATCGAGCGGCCGCGTGCGCGCACGTTGCCAGCTGTCACTGCTGTGTTGCGCAGTGTTCCCGTATACACGTGTGACACCGGCAACTTTCATTGCTTGCGCGCGGTACTGTAGGATGGGCATGCGCATACTGAGGGGCACGTGGCTCAAGTGAATCAAGCGGGCCGAACATTCCGGTGCGAGGTGTGTGCGTGCACGGTTGCCACTGCACACGACTTCAGGCGACATCTGGCGGGCAAGAAACACAAGCGTTAGCTCCGATCCATCACGGGATAGTACAAGAAAATAAAGGCCCTATTGTTACTATTTTGCTAATTGCTCTCGCGGACGACCTAGCTGGCTGACGTTGCGTTTAGACCTTTGAGGACTGCTTGCTACGACTCATAGCAATCTACAACGGACCTCTCGCACTTGCGTCAACCCTAGCTGCACTTACAAGGATTTCACTAGCGTGCCGAGCAGAACGGAAAGGGCGGGACCAGCGGATGAAGACGTGGCAGAAGCAAGAAGGCAGCAAAGAAACGCGCATGCAAGGGCAAGAAGAGCGCAAGAGACTGAATCTGATGCTCAAGCACGTCGTGAGGCAGGTCGAGACCGTGCCAGAATCCGGAGGGCTCAACAAACCGAATCTGAGACTGCAGCGCGTCGCCGAACCAACCGGGAACGTACTGCAGCACGACGAGCAGCAGAGACTCCTGAGCAGCGCCAAGAGCGTCTCCGACGAGGCAGGGAGAGAGCAAGGGCGCGCAGAGCGGGAGAAACAACCCCCCTCCGAGAATCACGGCGCGAAGCGCATGGCATTGCGACACGGAGCGCTAGAGCGGAAGAAACAACCCCCCTCCGAGATGCACGGCGCGAAGGGAGCTCATTGCGTCACGAGGCGCTAGAGCAGAGAAATGTACTCCCATTCGTGAAGCGCGGCGAGACCTTGACTGTCTCTCCACCTAACGATCAAGGGATGCACAGGACACACCGACTCGGAATGCGCGGCAAGGGTCCGACCGCCAGGCTCGAAGTGCTTCCCGACAGCTCTTATCTCCACTTCCGGCCTGAGCGAGTTGCGCAAGATATTATTCGAGCCATTGAACAATCATCTGTATTCAAGCTTTCTTGTGTCCAAGAACGCCTCTTGAGCAGTTCTGCGGCAAGGCCGATGTTTTCCACTTGCTGCGAGAAGGGAAAGCTGTCATTGCCCCTTCTTCCCGACCCTCCAGCTCTTCTGCGCTCTCTTCTCATCGATGATACTCAAAGGTACCCCCGCTTCCGTAAGAACATTCGAGCATACAATGCAGAGCTGTCTATGGCATCCGTGGTCGCCAAATGGGTGAACAGAGGGCCCGGCCCTTCCAATTTTAACCCAACAATGACGATGCAGGGCGAGACGTACCATTACATGGGTCCCATGATGCCATCCGAGGAGCGGGTGCCTTCCTACGCTTCCATTTACATTCACGACACTGCCTACGCCACCCAGACGCGTACAAGGCTTGGAAACTCTACACGACTGGAAGAGGCATTGATGACGCAACTAACGCACATGCTGCACGAATGCAACCCCTACGTGCAGACATTTCTGTGTATGCGAGAATGGGCTCAATCTCCTCACAACAACACTCCAGTCGCGTACCAAATGGTCAACCATGCCGACCGCAGGCCAAGTTATGAGCACGTGCGCCGGTACAATGGTCCCGAAGCTTCTGAAGTGGCTGCATTGATCCCTGGAAATGAAGACGGAGAGATTGGGCGAAGAGATATCGTCGTTCGCAGGCGAGGGACTCTGAACAGTAACGGGAACGAAGTGTTGGATCCGATTTCAGTCAGTCATCGTGCATACGATCCGTTGAGTTACGTGCTTTTGTTCCCGAACGGTAGAGATGGATGGTATCTAGAGCTTCGATTCTCTAGTGAGGACGACGGCAGACGTACCAAGATAAATCCGATGATGTTCTACGGATGGCATTTGTTCGAAAGGGCAGGTGAGTTCATCATGATCTTACACGCAGCGCGACTCTTTCAGGAATATTTAGTTGACCAGTTCTGCAAAGTGGAGGCGGAAAGGCTTTCGTATCTCCGCCAAAACCAGACAAAGCTTCGAGCGGCGGACTACACCTCACTTTGCGACAGCCTAGGAGACTCCGGTCGTGCTGAAGATGAAGCCGAAGCTGTACGTGCAGGACGATTGTTCATTCTCCCTTCTACGCACATCGGATGTGACAGCTACATGAGGCAGCAGATTCACGGCATCATTGCTATATCTAACCAAATTGGCCACCCGGACATCTTCCTCACCATGACATGCAATCCTAGCTGGCCGGAAATCACAAGAGCCCTGCTGCCCAATCAAACTCCTCAGGACAGACTGGATCTGTGCGCACGTGTGTTTCGTCTCAAAATGAAGGATCTCATGTCCTTGGTCATCAACGAGGATGTGTTCGGAACCGTCGTTGCCCATGTACGAGTCATCAAATTTCAAAAACGAGGTCTTCCCCACGCTCACGTGGTATTCTTCCTAGATGAGGTCTCCAAGAATGATCTGCGTAATCCCGAAAACGTCGACCGCATTATCTCTGCCGAAATCCCGTCTGCCCAAGATCCAGAACTCCAAGAGGTCGTGCTTAAGCATATGATTCACAATCCATGTGGGGAACGCAATCCAACAGCCGTGTGCATGGGCGAGCAGTACTGCAGGAAAAGGCTTCCAAAACCGTTCAAACACGAAACCAGCCAGTCCGAAAGTGAGTACTACATCACGTACCGCAGAAGGTCCCCCTCGGCAGGTGGCGTCTCCATCGAGCGTCCCTCCCGTATTGGCCGACGACAGCAATCCGTCGTGGTCGACAACTCCTGGTTCGTGCCCCACAGTCCTCTACTTGTAAGATCGTTCGCTTTCCATTTGAATGTGGAACTCTGCGTGTCACGCGTTGGAGGAATCAAGTATCTCTTCAAGTATGTGTGCAAGGGACAAGACCGAGTGACCATGGAAATCACTGCCAAAAACGAGTGCTACGACGAGATCTCGAACTTCCAAGATGCCAGATACGTGTCTGCATCGGAGGCCGCATGGAGGTTATTCTCCTGTGATATGTTGTGGATCGCAATCCTCCAGTGGTCAGACTTTCAGTGCATCTGCCCAACCACCATATGGTTTACTTTGAGGAAGGAAGAGAGCAGGAGGCGGCGCCTCGACCGGCATCAGGTCCGAAGCTGACCCAGTGGTTTAAAGCCAACGAAAATTTCCCAAGCGCGAGGCATATTCGGTACCACAAGTTTCCAAAGTACTTTACGTGGAAGAAAAGCAGCAAGTCATGGAGTCCAAGAGCATCCCTGCGAAGACGGAACGCCACCAGCGAAGAGGAAGCCTGAGATTTCAGTGGCACGGGCGCCAACGTAGTCGGTCGAATCTATACTGTCAGTCCGAGGGAGGGCGAGCGCTACTTTCTTGGCCTCCTCCTCACACAAGTGCCGGGGGCAACATCCTTCGAGAACTTGCGAAACATCGACGGCGAGCAGTGCACCAGCTTCCGACAAGCGTGCTTACGACTTGGTTTGCTGGCCAACGATGCCGAGTGGAAGCACGCCATCCGAAATTCATTCCGGTCAAGCTTCGTTCCCCTTTCTCATCTGTTCGCTACGATTCTCGCGCATTGCCAACCTTCGGATCCTTTCTCGCTGTGGAACGACCACCTGCACATGTTTCTCACCGATATTCGCAATCGCGCACGCGGACAACCCATTCGAAGACAGCAGCTTCGCGATGATCAACCACGCCACATCTTACGTGCTTGGAGAGGTACAGGAGGCCCTGCAGACGGTGCGTTCCAACTGGACGCTCGCACACTTCGGACTCCCACTCCCCGATGACAGCCTGCCCGCTTCGGAACAGCCAAACGAGATCCAGACACCCGAAGCACAAGCGCAGCAGTGCGAAGAGCGACTACAGACATCGTTGCCGCTGTGAAACACAAATCAGCGCCATGCCTTTGACGAAATAGTAGGCTCCATGCTTCCAGGCGTATCCGTCTCGGCATTGCTTCAAGGATCCTCCAGCGCCGTTGCGGGACCTTCTATGCCAACACAAAGTAGTCGTCTCTTCTTCCTCGATGCTCCTGGCGGAACAGGCAAAACGTTCGTGCTCAGCGCCATTCAAGACTTCCTTCGTTCGCGCCCCAAGCAAGTCATCGCCGTCGCCACATCTGCTGTTGCTGCAGTGTTGCTCGACGGTGGACGCACCGCTCATTACGTGTTCAAGATTCCCATTCCTGTATCTGCCGAAGCACTTGCAACTTCTCCACAAACTCCGATACTGGTCGTACATTGCAACAAGTCGATCTTATCATATGGGACGAGATCGCCATGTGCTATCAAAACTGCATTGAGACTGTCGATCGCTCCCTTCGCGACTTGATGCAAACCGACCGGCCCTTCGGAGGAAAGTTCCTCGTGCTCGCTGGAGACTTTAGACAAATCCTTCCCGTCGTTCCGGGCGGGTCCAGAGGTCAAATCGTGAGCGCGTGCGTCAAATCTTCCCCGCTGTATCGAGAGTGCCGATTCCTGTGCCTTACCGAGAACATGCGCCTCACTGCTCTCCAAGGGGACCCTGCAGCAGATGTGGAGGCTCTCAACTTCCCACAGTTCCTCCTCAGCGTCGGGGAAGGCAGACTTCAATGCGATCAGCGCCCGGAATGGATCTCACTACCACAGTCCGTAGCGTTCGAGCACACCATCCGCAATTTATGCCTCAAGGTCTTCCACGGCATTCGAGACAATCACGCCGACCCTACATGGCTCACAAAGCGCGTTATACTCACCACAAAGAACAGACCGCTCGAGCAGGTCAACGAAGTCATCGGCAACATGATGCCGGGACCGTATCGAACATATTTAAGCGCAGACAAGGTCGAGAGCGAAGACACCAACGCGCTGATCTATCCCACGGAAATGTTCAACACCTTGACGGCCGGGTCTGATCTACCAGACCACAAGCTCAAGCTCAAGAAAGGTTTCATCGCCATGCTTCTGCGCAATCTCGATCCCACTTCCGGTCACGTCAACGGCGCTCGATATGTCATCGAGAAAATGACCAACAACCTATTCTTTCTACGCGTTACCTCGGGGTCACATGAAGGCAACAGACTCTGCATTCCACGAATGCCCTGCGGACCAGGTGACGACAACTTTCCCATTCCTGGCTTTACTCGAACGCAGTTCCCCATTCGCACGTGCTTCGCCCTTACAACGAACAAAGCCCAAGGCCAGTCCTTCGGAGGCCGCATTGGTCTCGACCTACGAGATCATTGATTCTCGCACGGTCAACTCTACGTCGCATTATCGAGGACTACTCACTCAAGCAACGTCACTATCCTCACTCGAGAGTCCGATGCAACAACGCGAAACGTAGTATACCCCGAGGTCCTTCAGTAGTCATCAAAAAAGGTAAACGCCATTCTCTTTACATCTCGCCTTTGCCACCCTTCTGAATCATTGCTCCTCCACGCGGACTTGGCTCGGCGCGCGAAGCGCGCACGGAGCCCACTTGTCCCCGCGTATACTAATTTCCGTGTCTGTCTGTCTGTGTGTTTGTGTATGTGTGTTCGTGCGCTCCCGCACGGGTTCTCATTGGCGCACGGGGGCGCTGCGGCGACAAGTGGCGGCCACGTGCGGGGCGGCCTGGCCGCAGGCCAGGCGGCCACGCGGACACGTGTAGAAAGCGGCGGGGCCGTGATTTAATTTCATTTTTTACTACAGTGACAAGTGTACTGTGCGGACTGGGGGCGGCCTGGCCGCAGGCCAGGCCGCCACTGGGACACGTGGCTACCACGGGCACCAATGCGGCACTACAGTAGTTTACGAATTTAAATTTAACACTACAGTAGAGTAAAAATAATAATACAGCCCCGATCCGCTTCGCGTTCGCTAGCGATCCCGGCGCACACCGTCTACGCGAAATCAGTAAGTTACTAACTGTCCTCTTTGCTCCGGCCGGCTTGCCGCCCGCGGTATTAGAGCGCACGCGAACGCTTACTGACATTTGACCGTGTGTGTTTTTTTACGCAGTGTCTACGCAAGAAGAGAGAGAAGAACTACGCCGCGCGCGCCGCGCCGCGACCCCGATCCGCCTCGATTTCGGCGATTCCCCGCCAGCGACCACACGTGTCACAGTCCTACAACCAGCTCCTCCGCGCGCGCCCGCCCCATGTGCACACGTCCCCAGAATTGCGCGCGCGCCCGCCCCACGTGTACCGCGCGCGCCCCTCCCACGTGTGCCACGGCTCCCACGCGCCCCTGCGCCAGCACCCGCACCACGTGTACCACGCGCTCCGGTCCCACGTGTTATACGTTTGCCCCTGCCTATCATTCCTACATTTCGTGGGCTACGTGTGCCACGTGCAATCGAGCGGCCGCGTGCGCGCGCGTTGCCAGCTGCACGTGTGCCACGTGCAATCGAGCGTCCGCGTGCGCGCGCGTTGCCAGCTGTCAGTGCTGTGTTGCGGAGTGTGCCTGTGTACACGTGTGACATCTGCAACTTTCATTGCACGCGCGCGGTACTGTGGGACGGGCATGCGCATACCGAGGGGCACGTGGCTCAAGTGATTCAAGCGGGCCGCACATTCCGCTGCGAGGTGTGTACGTGCACGGTGGCAAGTGCCCATGACTATAGGCGACACCTGGCGGGCAACAAGCACAAGAGGAAGCTCCAATCGATCACGGGATAGTACAAGACTATAAAGGCCCTACTGTTACTTCTTTTGCTAAGTGCTCTCGCGGACGACCTAGCTGGCTGACGTTGCGTTTAGACCTTTGAGGACTGCTTGCTACGACTCAAAGCGATCTACAACGGACCCCTCGCACTTGCGTCAACCCTAGCTGCACTTGCTGAGATACCACTAGCGCGCTGGGCATAACACAAATGGCGGGACCAGCAGATGAAGACGTAGCAGAAGCAAGAAGGCAGCCAAGAAACGCGCGTACAAGGGCAAGTAGAGCGCAAGAGTCGGAATCTGAAGCTCAAGCACGTCGTGAGGCAGGTCGAGCTCGGGCAAGAATCCGGAGGGGACAACACACCGAATCTGAGGCTCAAGCGCGTCGCCAAACCGCCCGGGAACGTACTGCCGCACGAAGAGCAGCAGAGACTTCTGAGCAGCGCGAAGAGCGTCTTCGTCGAAACAGGGAGAGAACCAGGGCGCGCAGAGCCGGTCAATCACGGACAGAGGGTCCCAGAGAGTCTCCAAAGCTCCGAGCAGCAACAGAACGTGCCAGAGCCTCGAATCGAGCATCTATGCAACGCACGAGACAGGCTGAGAGCACTCCTGACCGCATAACTCGATTGGAGGCCTCTCGTGTCTCAATGCAACAGAGAAGAGCTGACGCGACAACCCCAGAGAGACATGAGCGTCAAGACTCAAACCGAAGATCCACAGAAGCAGCTAGAGCGGAAGAAAATACCCCCCTCCGAGATGCACGGCGCGAAGCGGATCGCAATGCGACACGAGGAGCTAGAGCCGAGGAAATTACTCCTGCTCGTGAGGCGCGGCGATACCTTGACTGTCTCTCCACCCAACGATCAAGGGATGCACAAGACACACCGACTCGGAATGCCCGGCAACGATCCGACGGCCAGGCTCGAACGGCTTCTCGGCAGCTCTTCCCCTCACTACCCGAATCCTCGCCTTCGTATCGCGATCTCGGCATGGTCCATATTGAGTGTTCGCACTGCAAAGCTCTGCATTTCGTCCAAGAACGCATCGTGAGCAGCTCTGCCGCAAGGCCCATGTTTTCCACATGCTGTGGGAAGGGGAAGCTGTCACTGCCCCTTCTTCCCGACCCGCCAGCTCTTCTGCGCTCTCTTCTCATCGATGATACTCCAAGGGCCCGCCGCTTCCGTAAAAACATTCGAGCATACAATTCAGCGCTGTCTATGGCGTCCGTGGTCGCCAAATGGGTGAACAGAGGGCCCGGTACTTCCAATTTTAACCCCACAATGACGATGCAGGGCGAGATGTACCATTACATGGGTCCCATGATGCCATCCGAGGGTCGGGCGCCTTCCTTTGCTTCCGTTTACATTCACGACACTGACTACGGTACTCAAACGCGCACAAGGCTTGGCGGAGCCTCTACACGGCTGGAAGACACACTGTTAATGCAACTGACGCACATGCTGCACGAATGCAACCCCTACGTGCAGACTGTTCTCGGTATGCGAGAATGGGCTCAATCCCCTCAACCCAACACTCCAGCCCCGTACCAGATGGTCATCCATGCCGACCGCAGGCCAAGTCATGAGCACGTGCGCCGGTACAATGGTCACGAAGCTTCTGAAGTGGCAGCATTGATCCCTGGAAATGAAGACGGAGAGATTGGGCGAAGAGATATCGTCGTTCGCAGGCGAGGGACTCTGAACAGTAACGGGAACGAAGTGCTGGATCCGATTTCAGTCAGTCATCGTGCATACGATCCGTTGAGTTACGTGCTTTTGTTCCCGAACGGTAGAGATGGATGGTATCCAGAGCTTCGATTCTCCAGTGATGACGACGGCAGACGTACCAAGATTACTCCGATGATGTACTACGGATGGCATTTGTTCGAAAGAGCAGGTGAGTTCAGCACAATCTTGCACGCAGCGCGACTCTTTCAGCAATATTTGGTTGACCAGTTCTTTTGGCGAACGGGGGCGGCGCCGCGGTGACAAGTGGCGGCCACGTGCGGGGCGGCCTGGCCGCAGGCCAGGTCGCCACGGGGACACGTGGCGTGACAGTCTGTGCGTCTGTGCATTCCCGTGTTGCCATTGGTGCGCTCTGTAGAAGCCGCCGTGCTGATTGGTGCGCCTAATATTTTCAATTTTTCCGATGTGCCTTTTCGCGGGAAAACAAATTTTGGGCGCACGGGGGCGACACGGCGTACACGTCACGGCCACGGGGACACGTGGCGGCTACGGGATGGGCAGAAATTACGTGGGTCATTTAAAAATTCCGCATGACCTCAG